AGTTTGTCTAATCATGAGTTATTGAATGATAACAATCAATTTATCGATCAATGTAAGTGTGATTTACTACATTATCTTTGTTTGATGCTTTAAAACATTATATTAATATTTTTTTCCCTTTTTTTAGTACAAATTTCAACATTATTATGAGTAAAGGAGGAAATGTTAGCAATGAAGAGAGATATCGAATAGATATTCTGAGAAAAGAAGGTTTAAGCATTAGAGAAATTGGTAGGCAGTAAAATTATCAAAAACTGCAGTTTTCCAAGCATTTAAATCTATTCAAGTGACCAAAAGTATTGAAAAAGGCTCCCGAATACCACGTCCTCGTAAAACTACCGAACGAGAAGATCGAATTATTCATCGAATTTCTGAAGCAGATCGTCACAAAACCATGAACATCAGAAAACAATTCGCTGAATTAACAGACAAGCACGTAAGCAATAATACCATCAAACGGCGTTTAAATGTGTTTCGGCTTATGGGTTGCGTATGTAGGAAAAAACCGTTGATGTCAAAGACGAATATAGCAGCTCGATTAGCTTTTGCAAAATGACACCGAAACTGGACATCAGCTGACTGGAATGGAGTTATATTTACAGACGAATCGAAGTTCAACAGAATGGGCTCAGATGGCAAAAGTTATGTGAGGCGTCGAGTCGGAGAAGAATTTAATGTACGGTGTACAAAATCAACTGTAAACGTTGCAGGCGGCTCGGTGATGGTGTGGGGTGCCATGACACGTTCAGGATGTGGTCCAATTCACAAAATCGAAGGCATCATGGATCAGCATGTGTATGTGGACATTATCAAGACTGTTTTTCTGCCTTATTACAGGAAACTTCGCTCCAGAAAACCAATCATGCAAGCCGATAATTATCCAAAGCACACGAGCAAAACTCCGAAGGCCTTCTTGTCAAGCAAGAAAATTGAGGTTTTGCAGTGGCCTTCCCAATCACCAGATCTCAACCCGATTGAAATGCTGTGGATAGATGTGGATAAATATGTGAAACTGCAAAAACCAATAAATGTAGGTGATTTATGGAAATGTGTTCAGGAAGGCTGGGCAGCTATACCACCTGAGCGATGTCAAAGATTAGTAGATTCGATGCCTCGTAGATGTGAAGCAGTAATTGCCGCAAAAGGCTTACAGACTAAATACTAGCTCCAAATCTTTATTTTTTGTTACATTTTTTACATTGTTATTAATTTTATTAACGATTAAGAAATATTAATTTTGTTGTCGTTAAGTATGCGGAATGCATATTTTTTCTAAAATGTTGCATAATTTAAGTATAACAGTTAGATAAATGATTTTCATTGTGCAAATATGTTAAAAATAAGTTATTTGTTCCAATACATAATTATCAATTCTATAAACTTATGCGTAAACATTAAATTTTGGATTTTACTTTTCATAAAGACATGTACTTAAGTACGTGAGCGCCACTGTATATAGTAACAAATCAAAATATACAGTGTAAGTTAAATTTTCTCGTGTTTTAATAACTAAATTTTCATGCGTGTTTTGTTTTAAAAACAATATTTCTTAAAGATGCTGTTTTTATATAAGCTAAATAGTGTGTATGAGGGATAAATTAAAAAAAGAATAGTAACATTTTCTAATACTTTTCGCAGAGTATGATTTCTCTATAAATTACATATATCAGAAAAATTAAATTAGCTACAAGATTTACTTATATCAGAAAAATTAAATTAAATGTAATACTATGTTTCAACTTACCATGCATAAAAAAAAAACACAATCTGTAATACTTTTGAAATTTTTAATAAATAAATAAAATAAAAATAAATAAAATGATATCTAAGAATTAGGTGTTCAGAGTTTTATTCGAAGAAAGGATTCTTAATTTCAATATTTTATGGGGAATTTATTCTCACACAAGTCTGTGTACTTAAATTTTCCTGAATATGGAGAAAGAAAAATAAGAAACTAAAAATGGTAAATAAAGATTATAAAAATATAAAATAGCTACAAAAATGATTGCAATGCTTTTACTTGAAACAGCAGTTTTATATAAAGATAAGTAAATTAAATTATGGTTACATTTATATATTACCTTGGCATCTTACTTCGTTTAAGTATTATTATAATTTAATGCATTTTCATTTTTAGTCAGATTAGGCCAGAGATAATTTAATCGGAAGGAAAAAATAAATAAATGAAAAAGGAACATTAAGGGGAAGATAATAAATTAATAAATTACTAAATGTTATTTTCAAATTTTATTTCCGTATACATTCATATAAAATTATATCATATTTTTCCCAATGATGTGCTGATAAAAACTGCAAATTTCAATTTATCTATAGAAAACTGATGAAGTACAAATATTTTGTCTACTCTATGTCGTTTGTCCATGGATTGGTAAAAATGAAGGATTATGGAATGGCTGCAGATGCTTTACAATCACACTGTAAAAAATTACGGATAAAATTACAATAAAAAGTACTACCATCTCAATTGTAGCATTCGTAAAATCCTTTTTAACAGTAAAATTTTATAACACAATTTTTATTGTAATATTTATTTACTTACAGTGATTTTGGTGATTTTATATTTAATATTAGTGCAAAAATAGCACATTTTTTATTTCGTAAATATTTCACGGTAAAAATGGATTTTACTGTAAAAAGTATTGACACTCTGAGTTCTGGAACTTTCTACCTTAATTTGATCAGGATCTTTTTACATTGCAGACGCAGTCATATCAGAATTTTGAAAAAACAAAGCTGTAAAAAACAACATACATATATATGGGTCATTCTCACGAAAACTGTCATTTTTCAGTTCATAAAATCCCGAAANATAATCTATTTTTATATTGGGAAAGATTGCGGCAACCCCCTCTATATTGAGGGTCAGAAATTAAAATCTGTTAAAAGAAAAAGGTTATGTTTATTCAGAGAAAGTACGTATTTGTTTATGATTTCGTAACTTAAAATATCGTTCACACAAATTACTACGTTTGAAGTCATCTCTCGGAAACATTTAGTTTGAGTCTTAGAATGTGAAAATCCGATCATTGCACAAAAAGTTATGCACAGTGGTTTTTTTTTTTGCACACTGTACTTGATGTATATAAATTCATAAAAATTGAAGTAATTCACTTATTTCTAAAAACGAATTTTTACTTCAAAAAACTAAGATTTTAACTTCTGCAACTTGAAGACATGAAAATATCTTTTAAATCATTGTATCATCATACAACTTGTACTAGATAAGATACTGATTGTTTCTGTCACGTTTGTTGCATTATTTTAACAGGTATTATTGTGAGCAGCAGCATTAGACGTCTGATGCATTATTACATCATAAAAAATACTATTAATTGAAAACTATAAATAATCAATAAATTAAATTTAAATACAATGTGTCTATACACAATGGACAAAAAAGTTGTGAGCCCAACTCAAAAATCCTGAAAATTTCTTGAGTAAAATCATTAATGCCGCTTTTCAAAAAAATTATTGGTTTTATAAATTTAAATCACTGATATTTTCAGAACATGAAATTTCTAAATAAATAATATGCAGCATAATTTAAATCAATAATTATGTATAGGTTTACTTTTATCGCTAATCGCGTTTACTATTCTACCAGAAAAAATATTTACAAATATGCCAAGCATAAATTCAAATCACAAAATTTCTAAATGAAATTGTATACAAGAATTTTTATACATAAATGTGATTGATTTCTCCAAACTTTTGGATCTTGGATTTCCGGATCGCGGTTAGAGAAAAAACGGGAAATCCGGATTTTTTCCGGAGCACAATATTCTCTGCAATAAGGTAAAAAATACAATCAATAAAAGCTATTTAAATAAAATACGGTTTCCTTAATAAAATCAACCCGGCTTAGAGTTTTTTTTTGGAATAGGCAGACTTTTATTGCTACACTGCTAACAAATGCTAACTATGGACCAACAGTTTGAAGAAACCATTTCTGGTGGGATAAAGGTTTACTACTATAGGCTAACAGTTAAAGGCAAAATTCAAACTGTTATTTCAAGGACGAAAAGTTTTATAGTTCTCTCTTGTTGCGCCATATTATTTTGCGGATGGAACAAAAATTTTTTAGGCAGTTTAATATGTACTAATAATTTACAGCTACGGGCTATTGTTTGGAAGTAAAAATGAATTATTTTGTAAGTCAAAATATAGTTAAAAATTTATTTAATCCAAAACTTTTTTGACAAATGAATATTTTATTTGGATTAACAATCTCGTAAACTTGGCTTAAATTTGGAGGCGAAATTTAAATGTCTGTTCTTTTTCGTCGAAAACTAACTATAATTTATTTTGAAGATTATTATGCCTTTTTTTGTGGAGAAATTACGAAACATTTATTGGATGTCAATTATCTGAATTCGATGTTAAATTCAAACATTTAGTTTTTCTTTTTGTCAAAAATCAGCGAAAACCTATGTATGGCATTTTTTAGCGGTCAAGCAAACGAAACTTTTTGGAGATCAAATTTAAGTTACCAATTTTCTATAATTTTTATTGCTGTTTAATAAATTTTATAAATTGCCAGAAAAATTGTAATTATAAAGGGTCACTAAAGGGCGTAAAAGCAACGCCATTTTCTTAATGATGTTACTTCCTATAACCATTGTTATTTCCTAAAACCAAAAAAGCATTTCTTAAATTAATAAAAATGAAAAAGATTTGTGTGCATCAAAATTCAAGTTCATAAGACAAATAGTTTTAAAAAAAAGTATGTAACCTGTGTTTGGAAATTGCAGTTTTGAGAAGGAGAAAAAAAAAAGTCAGCAAAAAGGACAAGTAGCAACATTAATAAGTTACACTAAGAGTTTTTTTCTTCAAAAAACGAACATAAATAGTATTACTGTAACTGGAATAAAAACTTAAATTATTTTTTATTCTTTATTGAGGAGTGAAAATTGAACTAAATATTTTGGTCGGCACTGGGAGATCTTTTAATTAATGGAACACGAGAATGAAATTCGTACCTGAATTCAGGTGTATCTCATTATGCACCTGAATCAACGTCATCAGGACTCAACTCTATCAGGAAAGAAGGCCACATCTTGTTCTGTAAAAATTGCAAAGAAAATAATAAGAGAACAAACGTGGTAATCGACATTTCAAATGATAAATTACAATAAAAATTTATTCAAAAAATAGTGACACTTATATTTTACAAAACGAAAGTGTGGACAGCGCAAAAGATTACGGGAACAGGGAGGAACGAGACAGTAACTTATAGTTTGTCTATTTAAAAAATCACCCTAGGGTTTAAAGCCATCTACTGCTATGGAAACCAGAAAAATAGCAGAAAAAGTTTATCGCAAGAGGGTGCTTTTCTTCCCTGATTTCCTTTCTCTCACCAAACCTATCTTAAATATTGACCCAACACTCCAACTTGAAGTAGTTCGTCACCGTCTCTGCTCCAGACGAATGGCGAGGGGAGTTCTTTCAATAGAACGATTGTATAAGAGATGGTTTAAGTAAGTATTTCATGTGTTCTAAAAAATCGGACTGTGATTTCCTTGCTTAATTATTTTTTTATATTTTAAGACAGACTAATCATTTAAAATAAATTATCATTAAACATAAGCATAGCTTCTCGGTTTATCTTTCCCTTACGCTGTATGCATGTGGTTGGTTGTCTGATTTTTTTCAAATTTCAGACCTAAAAAAAAACATTTCTTTACTGCTGAAAATTAATATATGTTCTACTCTAACTTCAAAAATGCAAAATATTTGTTCTCAAGCAGTTTTTAACATGACGCATTGTTGGCGTAATATCTTACGTCCCGACCACTGATCTCCACTTTTCCCTGTTTTATCTTTATGAAAAATTCAATGTGATAACATATTTATTAACTCTATTGCTTTAAAGTGTGTAAGATCTTCAGGAAATAGTTATTAAACTTAGGTAAAAAACATTTTTGTAAATACTTTTTTCAGAACTATCATCTTCCGACAGAGATATAATAAATTCACTGTCCTCAGATTCACACTCCGAATACATCATAACTATTTTGACATACAACGGTAGCACTAATGAAAGCTAAATTGCAAAAAGTACAAAATGATTTTGATTTCAATTCAAGGTGGAAAATCTCATTGCGGAAATCGTGAAGAAAGTGGGAGTAGTTGCGCCATCTCTTAGCAATATTCAGAAATACAAAAGTAATCACAGGATTTAAAGAATTGAGTAGGTAGCGACGGATTCCATTTCAATGATTCAATTCTTTTTATTCCTCACATGGCTTGAGAAGCCTACCATACGGCCACAAAAAGGCCGAACGTATGAGATGCGATACTAACAGAGAAAGGGTTAAAGGTAGGCATGTAAAAAAAAGCTGATATACAGGTTTATGTGGATTTTCTTTTGCTGTAAGATAGATTTCCGGATGCCGAAAGACGATTTTTTTTATATGTTCTCTTAGAGTTCGATGGCTCGGATAGAGTTCGCCTCCAAATGAGGTGAATCGGGTTCGAATCCAGCGATGGCTGGTCGGAACGAATTCGCATCTTGCTTGCACAGACAACAGTGCTGACGTGAAATGTCCTAAGTGGTAGACGGATCATGGGTTGGAGTCCCTTTGCCGTCAGGCTAACCGTGGGAGGTTCTCGTGGTCTTCCTCTCCATGTAACGCAAATGCGGGTTAGTTCCATAAAAAAATCCTCCAAGAAGGCATATTTCTCACAGTACTTGATCCAGGAATTCCCTTGTCTTCTGAATCGGGTTCAAAATTACANAATTCGGTTAAAAATTCTTACAAATGTTATTTACTTCTGAAGGTAAACTGATGAAAAATTGAGCAAAATAAAAATTTTCTTCGATGAGCTAATATACCGTGAAATAGTTTTAAATTTTCCTTCAAATCAAAATTCTGAATTATCATAATTAATTTATCAGAAGTTGGATACAAAATGTTTCGGTCGCAACAATTGTTTTGCTTTTGAGATAAAAATATTTGGCAAACAGATTCTCTACTAATGGTAATTTTTGACTAGAACCATACGCATGTGGTTGTTTTGCTTAAAAATGAGTTAAAACTTTCTTTTCCCACCATATCTAGCGAAACATTTTGTTGTTCTAACATAAGGATTTTAATTAATAAGGCTGGTACACAGTCCTGTACTTGATCCTTTTGGTTCGTACCAGTTGTAAGCAGCGACCAGAAATTTTATTTTAAAGGGCAAAATTATAAGGCGGTTAAATAAAATTTTCTTTTTAGATTATAAATTGGTTGAAACTTGTTCAGACAGAACCTTTTTGAGGCGTGGGCGGTAATCTGAAAAACTGCATTGTTATTTAGTTAACTACAACTATGACTACTGTTTTTTGTGTACAAATGTAATTAACTACAATTACTTTTTTAAACGCAGTGACTACGAACTATTTTTGAAATATAGTCACTACTTCACGACTTTTACGAGACGAATTTTGTTGGAGAGTTTCATTTTCAACTATGTCCAAAATATTTTTGAATGAAAAAAATAGGCTTATCAAACATGAGAAATAATTACGCAACGTTTTTTCATGTTTACATGAGTCAGTTTGTCATTCTAAAGAGTTTTTCTCGAATTTTTTCTGTTAACAATTTCAACTTTTCATGACTTTATCGACAGCGCATATTTGTTNACGACTTTTACGAGACGAATTTTGTTGGAGAGTTTCATTTACAACCAGGTCCAAAATATTTTTGAATGAAACAAATAGGCTTATCAAACATGAGGAATAATTACGCAACGTTTTTTCATGTTTACATGAGTCAGTTTGTCATTCTAAAGAGTTTTTCTCGAATTTTTTCTGTTAACAATTTCAACTTTTCATGACTTTATCGACAGCGCATTTTTGTCAAAAAATGATAAATTAAAAAAAAATTTCGAATACGTGCAATTTTGTGAAGCGTTTAATACTTTTATTTTAAAAATGAATTTAAAATTGCTTTTTTATTTCAATTGTAGTATATCAAAAATTAGTAAGAAAATATCTTTTCTTCCATTAAAATAAACGGTTCATCAATTTACAGTGCGAAAAAAAGAACCGAACTAATTTGAATAACTTTTAATCTGATGATGGGATCTTCACGTTCTAGTACTTAATCTTAATGGTTCGAGGGAGTAAATACTAATATGCTAATTAATTAATGCAGACAATATTTTAAGCTACGAAAGCAGGCACAAATCGTACTTTCCCTGAATAAACTTAAATTTTTTTCGGGGGATTTGGATTTCTGATCCACAAAATATAGGTGGTAGTCGCAATTTCAATCTGGGTAATATGGTTCCAATAGTTTTGTCAGGAGAGCTGTCCAAAGTTTGGAGACTTTAATGTTATTCAGACTTTTTTGCGTAGTTTGCCATTTCGCGAAAACTTTTTAAGCGAATTGAAAAGTTTTAAACGCAATTATAAAATTCGTTTATCAAAAGATAATACAATACGAAAAATAGCTCTTAGTAAATATTTATTATTTTTAACTATTTTATTTCATAATAGACAAAAATTTTTTTAAAATATATGCTTTCCAAACTTTTCACATCTTTTTAAAGAATTTAATTTTAAATAACCAACTGAAAAAATACTTAAAAACAGCGAAATTGTACCTGAAAAAACGAATAAATTTTAAAAATAAATTCTTCTCTCAAACCATTTAGATAGAGTCGTTGTACGTAAAAATAAGATCATTACATCAAAAGTTATTCAAAATGGTTAGTTTTTTGTGTGCACTGTACATATAAGGCAAGCTAATCTAGATGATAGTGCAGATTTTATTTTGTTGTCAGGTAGTCTTACAGATGTTGATAAGTGTAGCATGTTCTTTTGTTATTTCTTGTTTACTGTTTTCTTATTTCAGCCAAAAACTTTTTATCAGTGAACGAACTTACGACGATTTTCAATGGACTAGATATTCCTTACATTAGGTTAAAATTGAGGCGAACTCTAATAAGTGGTTTCTAAATTTTTAGGTACTTTCTTGAAATTTGAATTGGCAGTCATTCTGATTGAAATCGAATGCAACTAATCGAATGCAATACGTTGAACACGCATTACATCATAATTTCTGATCCGATAACCTCATAAAGCAATAATTTGTTCTCCCGGTCAAGTGACCGGTTGTGGTAGAAATAGGTATACCACAAGTCTTATTCGAAACAAACAAAATATAAAAAAAATTATAATAATAGATTATTAACTGCATATAATTGTTAGAAAAAGTCAAATGTGCAAAAACTATAAGATGATAAGCGATGCAAAAGTTCTTAANAAAAAATAGCTTTTAGTAAGTATTTATTATTTTTAACTATTTTATTTCATAATAGACAAAAAAAATTTTAAAATGTATGCTTTCCAAATTTTTTACATCTTTTTAAAGAATTTAATTTTAAATAACCAACTGAAAAAATACCGAAAAACAGCGAAATTGTACGAATAGTTCTTGAGAAAACGAATAAATTTTAAAAATAAATTCCCCTCTCAAACCATTTAGATAGAGTCGTTTTACGTAAAAATAAGATCATTACATCGAACGTTATTGAAAATGGTTCGTTTTTCGTGCGCTCTGTCAGGGGTCTGTTTAGAAGAAATTTGGGTCCATTAACGGACCCTTCACAAAATATCTTTTCATAAAAACGGAACATTCACAAAATATTTTAATTTAAAAACGGACCCTTCTCAAAATGATTTTTCTTTTAATCGGACCTTTCACAAATTTTTTTATCTTCATTATTGTTTTGTTAATCAAATAAACCTTTCCCAGGGCAGAAAACAAGAAAGATGGATGTAAACGAATTAAGTTAAGTCTTCCGCAGACGATTCTTCTATTATTCGTCCGAAATGAATATTCTGCGTTCAGCTGTATAGGCTAAATACCAAATATTTGTATGTTGCATCTCTAATTTAGAAGCAGCAATTGCTGTTTATTTTTGAAAATTTAATTTTTTTATTATAATTTTACAGTGTCGAGCATAATCTTGTATCTATTTACAATTTAAAAACTCCTTGAAAAAGTTTTTTGCAATAACCAGACCCTATTTGCACAAATTCATAGATACGGACCCTGGTTGAAAGAATGCGAGTCATTTTTTCACAATTTCACGAAAAACGGACCTTTCACAAAATGTCTGGACAGACCCCTGACTGTGCATATAAGACAAGCTAATCTA